GAGCCGCGGTCCGAGAGAGCGTTCGAGGCGTCTCGCCGCGGTCCGAGAGAGCGTTCGAGGCGTCTCGCCGCGGTCCGAGAGAGCGTTCGAGGCGTCTCGCCGCGGTCCGAGAGAGCGTTCGAGGACACACACACACTTAGGTCAACGTCGAGACCGTCATGGACGACTTCTCGCGCTTCGTGCGCCAGTTCAAGCCGCGGCGCGAGCAGGACGCGGACGAGGAGCCCGCGGAGCCCTACTACGTCCGCGCGCTGCGGGCCGCGGCGGCCAACGGCACGGCGCTCGACATCAACTGCCGCCACCTCCACACGCACTCCAAGGACCTGTACACGCAGCTCGTGCGCTACCCGCAGGAGGTCGTGCCGATCATGGACCTCGTCATCACCGAGGAGCTCGAGCGCCTCAAGCTCGAGGCGGCGCTGGACGCGGTCGACGACGAGGGCGACGCCTACGGCCCGCCGCCGCGCGTCCAGGTGCGGCCCTACAATTTGCGCGAGGTCCACGATCTGCGGGACCTCGACCCCGAGAACATCGACCAGCTCGTCGCCGTCGCGGGCAGTGTGGAAACCAAATCTTCAACCCGACTTCAATGTGAGCGTATGCGACAGTTTCGACGCGAGCTCTTCGGCCGTGCTTCGAGAACTCGACGAGAGCGATCGATTCGTCCAAAAATCAGCCGAATCGACTTCGATGTGACCGAGATAGAGAGGTTTGAAGTTTGGTCAGGACCACCCAAACCAGTGGTTGATTTCGGCACAGGTCGCGGGCATGGTCACGCGGACGAGCTCCATCATCCCGGACCTCAAGCAGGCCCACTACCGCTGCGTCGTCTGCGGCGGCGGCGTCGACGCCTTGATCGACCGCGGCACCGTCGACGAGCCGACCAAGTGCGCGCGGTCCGGGTGCTTGGCCAAGGGCGCGATGGAGCTCGTCCACAACCGCTGCGTCTTCACGGACAAGCAGGTCGTGCGCCTCCAGGAGGCGCCCTCGTCCATCCCCGAGGGCGAGACGCCCCACACGACGACGCTCTTCGCCTTCGACGACTTGGTCGACGCGGTGCGGCCCGGCGACCGCGTCGAGATCACGGGCATCTTCCGCGCGATCCCGCGGCGCGTGAACCCGCGCGTGACGACGGTGCAGTGCCTCTTCCGCACCTACGTCGACGCCATCCACTTCCGGAAGAAGGGCGACGAGCGCGACGACATCGTCGACGTCATCAAGACCGAGGACGACACGACGAACTTCGGGTCCGAGAAGACGGAGGCCATCCTCGACTTCGCGCGCGACGGCAAGGCCTACGACAAGCTCGCGGCGTCCCTCGCGCCCTCCATCCACGGTTTGGAGGACGTGAAGCGCGGCGTGCTCTGCATGCTCTTCGGCGGCTGCGCGCGCGCGCGCGAGGTCCGCGGCGCCGCCGGCGCCGCGCCGCGCGACGGCCAGAACCGCAAGGACGGCGCGGGCGGCGTCCCCGGCGCGCGGAGCCGCGGCGACATCAACGTGCTCATGTGCGGCGACCCGGGCACGTCGAAATCGCAGCTCCTGGGCTACGTGCACAAGATCGCGCCGCGCGGCGTCTACACGTCCGGCAAGGGCTCGTCGGCCGTCGGCCTCACGGCGTCGGTGCAGCGCGACCCGGAGACGAAGGAGCTGGTCATGGAGAGCGGCGCCGTCGTCCTCAGCGACCTGGGGGTCTGCTGCATCGACGAGTTCGACAAGATGTCCGACGCGACGCGCGCGGTGCTCCACGAGGCCATGGAGCAGCAGACGATCTCGCTGGCCAAGGCGGGCATCGTCGCGACGCTCAACGCGCGCGCGTCCATCTTCGCGTCCGCGAACCCCGTCGACAGCCGCTACAACCCCAAACTCAGCGTCGTCGAGAACATCCAGCTGCCGCCGACGCTGTTGAGCCGCTTCGACCTCATCTACCTCATCCTCGACCACCCGGACAAGGACAAGGACCGGCGCCTCGCCAAGCACATCGTCGCGCTCTACGCCGAGGACGCGGACGACCGGCCGCGCGCGCACGCCGTCGACGAGCGCTTCGTCCGCGACTACATCTCCTACGCGCGCGCCAAGGTGCACCCGGAGCTCTCCGACGAGGCGCGCGACGAGCTCATCGACGCCTACGTGCGCATGCGCGGCGGCGGCTCGTCGCGGCCGAACCGGGGCCGGTCCATCACCGCGACGCCGCGCCAGCTCGAGGCTGCGTGGAAACCAACCACTGGTTTGGGGGGTCCCGACCAAACTCTAGCTCGGTCACATCGAAGTCGATTCGGCTGATTTTTGGACGAATCGATCGCTCTCGTCGGGTTCTCGAAGCACAGCCGAAGAGCTTGTGTCGAACCGTTCGATTACGCGCACATTGAAGAAGATTTGATGTCCACGCAGGCTCGAGGGCATGATCCGCATCGCCGAGTCGCTCGCGCGCATGCGCCTCGAGACCGTGGTCACGCGCGAGGACGTCCTCGAGGCCGTGCGCCTCATGCAGGTCGCGACGCTCGCCGCGGCGACGGACGCGACGACGGGCCTCATCGACATGGACGCGATCAACACGGGCTCCTCGGCGCTCGACCGCGAGCTCCTCCGGTCCATGTGCGCCGAGCTCCGCGTCCTCGTCGACGGCCACCCGCGGGGCACGCCCGTCGACGTCGGCGCGCTCCGGGACCAGATGGCCGCCCAGTCCGACGCGGAGCTCGACCAGCAGCTCTTCTTCAAGGCGCTCCAGACCCTCGCGGCCGACGACGTCGTCACGATCAACGAGCGCGCGGGCACCGTCATCCGCCGCTGAAAGCCCGCACCAAGGCGGGCGAGGGGGAGGCGTAACGCGCGTGTCCAGCTATTGCCGCGGGCATCCTACCGCAGGGCGGTAGTGCGTCTGTAGCCTGAGTCGACTCGGAGGAGTTCATAACCGCACGCGGCACATTAACACCGGTCGACTAGACGGTCGACGACATGACAATTTCGGCACAACGGCCCGCGCGCGGGGCGGGGGGCGCGGCGGCTGGGCGGCGCGTCCGCCTTGGGGCCTTTAAAATGGCTCGGTCATCGCGCCGACGACGCCGAGGGCGCGTTCGCGTTCGACGGCACGATCTGCGAACGGGGGGTTTCGCCGCGGGACCGCGGCGCGGGACGCGGCGCGACGCGCGTCGATGAGGTCGATCTGGACCCAGGCGCAGACTTTGTTGTCCGGCGCGATGACGTGGCCGTAGTAGTCTGCGGGCGCGCGCGGGTCGCGTCGTCGCGCGACCCGCGGAAATATCTTTCGCTCCCGACGGACGCCGCGCGACGCGCTCTCCCAGTTATCGAAGGCGCCGCCGCACGCCTGCGTCGGGAGGGCGCCTCGGCGGACGTGCGCGCCAGCCGCCGCGGCCGCGGGCGGCGGCGGGCGCCCGGTGTCGCGCGCGGCGGACCCGGCGCCGCGAGGCCCGCGGCGGCCCGCGGCGGCCGCGCGGCCGCCGGCGCGCGCCGCCGGGGCGCGCCGACGCATCGAGGACGCCGGCGGGACGCGCGGGGCACTCGAGCTGCCCGGACGGCAGCGTTACGGGCGGCAGCGACGCGCGTGTCACGCGCGGGCTCACGATCTTGGCCGAGCTCTCGACGATCACCGGCGGCGTCGGGGCCTGTCGAGCGATTGCTACGACGAGTTCTGGCGATGAACGGTGCGCACCGTGTTCGAGCCCACCACGTTCGTCGCCTCCATCCCGAGCGAGCCCAAGCCTGCGCTACGAGCGCATGCTTGACGCCGATCAATCGAGACAGGCGTCGGAGAGCCAGCTTCAGCAAGCCTTCAACCAAACTGTCGACGCGCGGCCTTTGTGGTGCCAGGGCGTCGGCCGCGGCGCGAAAGTGACGTCGTTCGCACAGCGACGTACGCCGCCGCGGTGCGCTGAAGAGTGGCGTCCATCGCCGCCGCGGCGCGACGCGCGGCGCGCGCGATGTGGTACGCGAAGAAACTTCGAAGCGACGCGCTGGACGCGTCCCGTCGTGTTGGCGACTTGTAACGGAGAAGTGCGACACGCGCTGCGCCGGGCGGCGGCGACGCCGGCGCGCGCCGGCCACCTCCAGTTCGCCGGGGTCGATTTCAAAGTCCGGGAGAGCACCTCGACGAGAGCCGCCGGCCGCGCTCGCGCCGACACGCCAATGGAGAACGCCCCGCCCGGCACGGAGGTCGTCCTCGAGACGCCGCCCGTCGCCGCCGCCGCGGCGACCGTCGACTTCGAGCCGCCGGCGGCGTGCATCAACCGCATCGTCAAGGCGGCCCTGCCCGACAGCACGCAGGTGACGCGCGAGGCGAAGACGGCCTTCGCCAAGGCCGCGGGCATCTTCATCATCTACCTGACGACCTGCGCCAACGACGTCTGCAAGGACAAGAAGCGCCAGACCGTGTCCGCGGCCGACGTGCTCCAGGCGTTCGCGGAGTTGGAGCTCGAGGAGATGAAGGACACGCTCCAGGACTTCCTGGCCCACTTCCGCCAGGCCGAGGGCACGAAGCGCAAGGACAAGGGCGACGCGGCGCCGCCGAAGAAGGCGCCCAAGCTCGAGGCCGGCGCGCCCGCGGCGATCGCCCAGGGCGGCGCCGCCGCCGCCGCCGCGCCGCCCGCGGCCGACGCGGGCGCCGACGACGACGCCGAGGCGCCGGACGACGACGACGAGGAGCAGGAGGAGCTCGTCGACGAGGAGGAGATCCGCGAGATGGAGCTGATGAGCGGCGTCAACCACTCGGACGACGACGAGGAGGACGACGACGACGACGGGCCCGAGTAGGGGGTGTGGTAAGAGCGCGCTCCTCTCGATTTCGCGGGCGAGCAGCGAGTCCCCTCGTAGGGGGGCTGTAGGGGTGTGGAGCTCTGCCCTTCCTCGCCCGGAGAGGAGTTCGGTGCTCCTTCCTCCGAGTCGACAGACGGAGTTCCCGCGTGCCCGGGTCCCGGCTCGCCGAGACGCCGCGCGTCGCAGAGCCGCGCCGAGGCGAAGACGACACGCGTGCCTGGGGAGGGAGGTCGTGGCGCCTCGTCCGTCGCACCTTTGGAGGCGCGTCGAAGAACTGCAAGCCGACAGCATGTTGCTTTGTTGCAGCGTTCACCGGTTGCCAGCAACAAGCGATAGAAGCGCCGAAGCGCCGTCGCAGGCAAGCCAACGACGACGATGGCCGACGAGCAGGAGGTGCGCGTGCGGTTCACGACGCGGCAGGCGGCGATCGCCTGCGGCGACGCCGTGCTCGGGCTGCCGAGCTCCGCGGAGCCGGCGCAGCTGTGCGACGTCGTCAACAAGCTACTGTCGCGGAGCGGGTCGCGCGCGCTGGCGCTCGAGTTCCTCTGGGCCGGCAAGCTCGTGCAGACCTCGCTCCTGAAGCACGCGGCGCTCCACGGCGCGTCCCTCGAGAAGGTCGCGGACATCGAGTACTTCGTGTCGGTGCCCGCGCCGAGCTACGGCGGCGCCGCGCCGACGGAGAACGACGAGTGGCTCGCGGCGCTCTGCGCGGCGCCCGGCGGCGGCGTGCTCGCGGGGAGCTACGGCGGCGGCGTCTACGGCGAAAACGGCGCGACGCTCGCGGAGAACGCGCACGACGGCGCGGTGACGTGCGTCGCCGCGGCGGGCGGCCTCGTCGCGACGGGCGGCAAGGACGCGGCCGTGCGGTGCTGGCGGGCGAGCGCGGCGGGGCCCCTCGCGCCCTGCTTCGCGGGCGACGCCCACGGCCACGCCGTGGACAGCGTCTGCGTCGCCGGCGATGTGGTCGCGTCGGGCGACTGGGGCGGCATGGTCTTCCTCCGTGTGGATCAAATCTTCAACCCGACGTCAATGTGCGCGTAATCGAACGGTTTGGACCAGACTCTTTCGCTGTGCTTCGAGAACTCGACGAGAGCAATCGATTCGTCCAAAAATCAGCCGAATCGACTTCGATGTGACCGAGCTAGAGATTTCTGAAGTTTGGCCCCGACGTCCCAGCTCACTGGTTGATTTCCACACAGGTCTTCCTCTGGCGGCCCGGCGCCTCCGGCGACGAGCCGGCGCCGAAGCGGGCGCGCACGGACGCGGCGGCCGCCGCGGGCCCCGTGCTCACGCACAAGGCCCACGCGCAGTGCGTCTCGGGCCTCGCGCACGCCGCGGGCCGGCTCTGGAGTGTGGGCTGGGACCGCGCGGCCAAGGTCTTCGACCTCGCGACGCTCGACCCGGTCCACAGCGCCAACGCCTCCGTCGCCCTCACCTGCGTCGCGCACGCCGAGGCGCTCGGCGTCGCGGCCGCGGGCGCGCACGACGGCTCCGTGCGATTGTACGACGCGCGGTGCGCGCCCGCGGCGGCCATGGCCCGCGTCCTCCGCAACCACAAGCACCAGGCCGTCGGCGCCGTCGCCTGGAGCCCGGCCGGCGACCACCGCCTCGCGTCCTGCGCCCAGGACGGCCGCGTGAACGTCTGGGACGTCCGCGGCGACGCGCCGCTCGCCGCGCTCGACGCGCCGGACCTGTCCAAGTGCCTCGGGCTCGCCTGGACCGAGGCGGGCCTCTTCGTCGGCGGCGACGACCCGCGCGTCCACAAGTTTAACGTGTAAAGTGGGCGCCGCGCTCCGCCTGCTGTTGTTGTTGTTGTTGTAAGAGCTTGTTCCGGAGCTCCGACGCGATCCAGTGGACGGCTCGCGGCACTGCACTTGCACTGCACGAGCTGCGTGAGAGCATGGGCACCTTCTCGCTCGCGGCCCTCTCCGAGTTCCTGGACGCGGACTCGGCGTCGTCGGCGCTCGCGGCGACCATCACCCCGCGCGTGCTCGGCGACAACAGCAACAACAACGCGAGCGGCGCGCTCGCCGTCTTCTACGCCAATTGCCAGGGCTCGGGCCTCGCCTACTGGCTGCGGCGGTCGCCGCGGTTTCGCAGTGCGTACCCGCGCGTGCGCTGCGTCGCGGTGCACGACCTCGTGGACCGGCGCGAAGAGGACTTCTCGGAGGAGCAGGCGGCGTGGCTCGGGAGCTGCGCGCTCCTCGTGTACCAGCCGATCCGCGAGGCGCACGGGCCGTTCGCGACGACGGCGCGCGGCGTCCTCGGGCGCCTGCGGCCCGGCACGCGCACGCTGAGCTTCGCCTACCTCTACCACGAGGCCTACTTCCCGCTGTTTCCCGAGCGCGACTTCGTCAACGCGAGGGGCGCCGACGCGTTGTGGCGCTTCGTGGAGCGGAGGGCCGCCGAGGACTGGCGGCAGCCGCTGGCCGCGATCGTCGCGGCCGTGCGGCGCGACCTCGCGGCGGGGGCGCTCGACGGCGCCGACTTCTTCGACCTCGCGGCGCGGACCGCGGACACGCTCGCGCAGCTCCGCGCGCGCGAGCGGTCGCTCGACGTGCGCTGCGCGGACTACGTCGAGGCGCACCCGGAGGAGCCGCTGTTCCTGACGCAGAACCACCCGGCGTCGCTGCTTCTCTATCATTGCGCCAACGAGGCGCTCGGCGCCCTCGGGCTGCCGCGCCTCGCGGAGGCGGACCGCGCGGCCGCGGAGGCGGACGCGAACGCCGCGGGCATCCCGGGCCGCGTCTGGCCTTCGAGCGCCTTCGAGCGCCGCTTCCGGGGCCTCGACGACCCGCCGGTGGCCGTGCCCGCCTTCTACCTCGAACTCTACGACCGCGTCTGCGTGCGGAGGCTCGCCGCGGTGGACGGGGGCGTCGCGGAGTGCTACGGGTAGTGCGCGTGTTAAAGCACCCTCTAGCCCGGACACGACGGCCTCGCGGCCCTTCGGCGCGTCGTCGTCCGTGGACCACTGGGCGCAGTTGATGCCCGTCTCCAGCGTCGTCGAAGCCGCGCCGAAGGACGCGCTTCTCGGACTCGAGAACGAACAGATCCCGGCGTGGTGCCGAAGTCGCAGCGGTTCAGCCGTGGCTTCCACCCGAGGCACGGGTTCTCGAAGCAGTCCACGCCCGTCGCGCACCTCAGGAGCTTCGGCGCGGGCGTCGCGGAAACGACGGCGTTTTCCCGAGACGACGCGCCGCGAGACGAGAGATCGTGGCGTCCGTAATGAGCCTGCGCCGGCTCAGGCGTTGGTCTGCATCTGGTGTAGGCTCTGTGAACGTCTCGGCGAACTTCGTGGACTTTCAGCGCCAAACGCTGGCCCGCGCGCTCTCCCGTGCTCCAAATCGTGGGCGTCGCGCGACTGAATTGCTCAAATGACGCCGTCAGCTGGCGCAGTAAGTCGCAGGACATCATGAGGGTGTTGTGGCCCGTTTTTCGTGGCGCACGGGCTGCGCATGCCGGCTCCACAGCGCTGAAGAGAGCCTTTGGTGGACGCCCATCGTCGAGGATCAAAAATAAACAAAAAAAAAAATCGCCATTGGGGCCGTCGGGGTCAAACCCCCAAAAACACCACCACCATCGTCCGGAGGTGTAGGAGAGGTGTGGGGGATTCAAAAAAAAGACTGCCCAGTACCAGGATCGAACTGGTGACCTTTCGCTGACTTACAAGTCTAGCTTTCGCATTATGAGACGAACGCTCTAACCAACTGAGCCAACCGGGCTGGGGGCGAACCGACGATCTGCGACTCCCTGCCAGAGATCGCTGATTTCGGTTTTATTTGCTTGTGACGACCCTTGCAAAGTAATAGGCCTATGAATTCATGAGAGAGGACAAAGAAAAAATAAGCGTAAGCGTTCCCCCTGGCCGCGCCCGGAACGCGGCGCAAACATAGCGCCGTGGCGCTCAGGCTGAACTTCAGGTTGAACTCAAGAAAATCGTGCTCGCTGCCCCGTTTTTCTGTTGGGATCTTTTCGCCTCCCTAGAGCACCGCCTTCTCGCGCGCCCGCACCGCTCGCTGTTGGTTTGGCCATCCTAGGAGGCCTGCCTTAAGTGCCGGAAGGGCGCTCGAAGGCCGCGTGCGGGGCGCCCGGGGCGACTGTCGAACAAGGCCAGTGGGACTGTGGCAATCGAGTGCTGCGGCTGGTGCGGCGCCCACAACTGCGCCCTCGTGCGCGCGCGCGCGCGGCCAACTACCCACACTATTCACTACACACTCGTCTCCAAGCCACCAACGACGCGTAAAACAAACGCGAGCCCGCCTCGAGAGGCCACAGCTGCGCCGCCGGTGCCTCGTTGCGCGCGCGCCGCTGCCGCGGCACGAGGCGCCTGACAAACACACGCACCCAGAAAACCGCCTAAACGAACGATGGCCGCCTCGTCGCCGTACGCGCTCGGCATCCTCAACCTCTTCTTCCTGCTCGTCGGCATCGTCGTGCTCACCGTCGTCAACGTCTACGTGCTCGTCAAGTGGCAGCACCCCGAGGACAAGAACCAGTGGGTCTCGGCCAAGGCGGCCGTCGTGCTGGGCATGCTCGTCACGGAGCTCGTCATCGTCGGCCTGCCGCTCGACGTCGCGAACAACGGCGGCGCGCGCGACTGCTCCTACGACTGGGGCGACACGGCGGAGTGCGGCGGGCTGGACATGCGCGCCTACTGGCTGAGCGTCTTCGGCCTGGCCATCGCCTGGGTCTGGGTCGTCATCCCGACGTACGTCTTCGCGTACGAGGCGCACGACGAGCTCGGCGAGCACACGACGGGCGACACGTTCAAGGCGGCCGCCTGCAGCGAGCTCGGGCTCCTCGTCGTCTTCCTCATCGTCGTCATCCCCATGTACTTCATCATCAACGAGGTGAAGCTGCCGGTCTTTGACAGCGTCGCGAAAACGTCGCTTCGAATCTCGAGAGACGTCGCCCGCCGCGCCGCGCGCGGCGGGGAACTACTTCGACAGCTCGGCGGCGGCTCGGCGGCGACGGCGCGAGCCATCGTTTCGGCGGCGCGAGCGCTTGTTTCGAAATGCCAAAACATCACTTCAAATCTCGCGCGTCGCGAGGTCGTCCGCCGCGCCGCGCGCCAAAAAGAATTCTCCAGCAACAGCTCGCGGCGTAGGTCGACGCGTTCGCGGGCACGACGCTCGGCGCGGCCGTCGGGACGTTCGACGCGGCGCAGGGCCTGAACAGCTTCGAGTTCATGGGCGACCTGGCGTCGACGGACCGGGTCTTCAGCTCGAGGTCCTCGGACACGATCGTCTTCGGCGTGAACTTCCTCGACTACCTCGCGGCGTTCTTCAGCTGGGTCGGCTGGTTCCTCTTCGTGCTCTGGGGCGGCATCGGCCTCGCCTGCCTGCCCATCGACCTGATCCTGGCCTACGTCTACCGGCCCGTGCCCATGGACGCGCGCGAGATCGCCGAGTACAAGCTCCAGATCCAGAAGCGCGTCGCGGAGCTCATCGACGTCGGCGGCCAGCTCCAGGGCGAGCGCGCGCGCCGCGGGGTCCCGCCGCGGTCGCTCGCGGGCGCGCGATCGCTCCGGGGAGCGCACGTGGCAACGCGCCGAGAGATGATCGCTCGTCCGAACATATTTTGACGTCCGATCGCTCCGGGGAGCGCACGTGGAACCATTTAGAGAGACGATCGCGCGTCCACGCATATTTCACCCGGCGTCCGCTCGCAGTCCTCGTTCCTCGACGGCGCGAAGCAGGGCTGGTGGGCGACGCGGAAGCAGAACGCGCGGGACCAGGTCAAGGTGAACAAGTTCGCGCAGATGGTCTTCATCCTGGAGACGGAGGTCGAGGAGCTCGAGATCATCTCGGGCCGCGCGAAGGACTACGAGCCGCTCGTCTACGTCGGCTACCTGTTGCTCGGCGTCGTCGCGGCGGTCCACAGCCTGCTCTGGGTCGTCCACATCATCGTCTACATGCTCGTGGACCCGGCGCCGACGCCCTTCCTCAACGACTACCTCATCCAGTTCTCGAGCTGGTACCCGCTCTTCGGCTCGCTCGCGTGCGCGCTCTTCACGTTCTACCTGCTCTGCGCGACGATGAAGGGCTGCCTCAAGTTCGGGACGCGCTTCTTCCTCATCAAGCTCCACCCGATGAAGTACAACGGCACGTACCTGAACTCGTTCCTCTTCAACGTCGGCCTCTTCGGCATCTGCGCCTTCCCCGTCGTCCAGTTCTGCACCGCGGCCTTCGCGGACTACGCGCGCTTCTCCGACGCGGCGACGCGCTTCATCGTCGTCAAGCACCTCGTCTTCTTCAAATCCTTCTACGACACCATGGCCTTCGAGTACGCGCTCATGTCCGTGCTCGGTCTCGCGCTCGTCTGGCTCTTCATCGCGCCCCACGACGTCCCCGCGTCCACGTCCAAGCTCAAGGCGTCCCTGGGCAAGGCGAAGCCGCGGGCGACGTCCGACGTCTTCGGGGCCTCGTCCTCGAAGTACACGGCGCACAACGTCCTCTAGGACGCGCTTTTGTAACTGCCAGACACGCCTAGAGCGCCTGCGTCCCGCCGAATGCCCCCTCCTTGAGACACGCTTAGAGCGTCTGCGTCCCGCCGAATGCCCCCTCCTTGAGACACGTTTAGAGCGTCTGCGTCCCGCCGAATGCCCCCTCCTTGATGGGCTCCGCCTAGACGACGCCGGCGTAGCGGCCGCCGTCGAGGGGCGCGAGTCCCGCGCCGCTCCCCGCCTGGACGATGCCGGCGTAGCTCCGCCCTTTTTTTATGCACACATCTTCTTCTTACGGCCTACCACGCGATGTCGACCCCGGTCCCGCGGGCTCGCCGGCGGAGCTCCGCGAGGCCCTCGTCGCCGAGGAGCGCGGCGCCGGCGGCGACGGCCCCGACCGCGGCGAGGACGAAGCGCCGGCAGCGCCGGAGGAGCCCCCAGAGCCGCCGCGCGGCCGCGAGGGGCCCCGCGCCGCCGAAGACCGCGGCGACCGCCGCGGGCACGGCGAACTCGCGGACCGCCGCGCGGAGCAGCGACCGCGGCTTCGGCGGCGCGATCGCGCGGCGCGGCGCGTCGCCCTCGGCGAGGGCCGCGCGCACGGCGCCGAGCTCCCACGCGAGCTCGTCGGCCCGCGTCGCCCAGGTCGCGCCGGCCTCGGCGCGGAA